TAATCGAAGTGTTGAATTGTTTGTTCAGTAGGGCTATGATGGCTATCCAAGTGCAGAACCAGAGTATAAAACCTATACAATTTCAAAGTGGTGTAAGACGGGGTGACGTTATATCCCCGAAACGTCACCGCTGCAGGAAGACCTTTTGAAGCAACTGAACTGGAAAGGATACGGTATTAACATCCATAGCGATTACATCATTCACTTTCGATTTGCCGACGATATAGTCCTTATGGCAGAATCCCTAGAGGACATCAGCACTATGCTCAAGGACCTCAATAGTGTCTTCCAACGGACAGGTCTCAAAATAAATATAGACAAAATAAAGGTCATGTGTGACGTCCATGTCACACCTATGCTTTATCAGTTGTTGGGAGCACTACTCACGAAATTGACGACCAGTATGTTTAACTGTGTTAAATAGTCCGGCTAAGTAATGCAACTTCGACCGAGAGCACAGATTAATAGTTACTATGTAACCGAGAGGTCAATCGACGAATTCAACTTGACTGGGTAACGTTCGGAAGATTACGACACATGTTCTCGTGAGGTAAACATTAAAACCTGAAAATAATGTTGTACAACTAGTGCGTGTTGTGATCTGAGACAAGGAAGCTCAGGGTTTTTCTGCGTGATAGACTTAGAAATGAGAATATCCGCAGTAGAACCACTGTAACCGACATTGCCCAACGGATTAACTAGCTGAAACAGCAATAGAGCGACTAAACAGCTCGAAGAACCGACAACTGACGGTGAAGAAAAGTTCGTGAATGGCAGCCTCGTACCGATAAGTGAAGTTTAGAACGACCCCCCACTAGATGGAGTGACCTGAGACATGCAGTAAGTTGTTGAATACAGTAGCTTTGGATCATGGTTTGTGGCATTCCTTGGAACAGACCTAAGTTTAGCAGTGGAGTTATAACTATGTGTTGCCTACAAAGAACATTAGTTATCTTGCTAACTTCCTTTTACTGTTAAATAAGTGTTACCATCATGTATATCCTTATTGTCGAAATAGTATTTGAATAGTTTTTTTACTGTTATCTCGGTGGATCTAAATATCAGCACACGAAACACGATTAATTATGAACTGAATTCCCGTTTATATTTAGATTGTATTATTCACTAGGTGGCATGCGATTCTACTCAATAACGCCCACAGTGCAATGAAGTAATTAAATTTTAGCTAAAACTCACCATGTTAATGTTTCATTCATATATTTTTATTCTGATAACATTATTTATTACACAGTATATCGCTATGTATATAGCTCTATAAAAATAATACTTATCATATTTTTATAACATAAAATCAGGCTGCAGTGTGGATTTTGTTCGGATCGAACTATAGAAGTGATAATTAAGATATTTATTTCTTATTTTCTTATTTTTTACGAGTCTGGGTAAACGCGCTGGTGGAAAATAAGAAATCATATTCATACCTACAGTGTGTAAAAATTAAAAAACAAAGAAATGATAAGGCTGAAAAGGGACAGTGTGCTGTGTGTATTTTTGAAATGCGGTCGCGGGCAAAAATCTGCTCAAATAATACTAACAGACAACGAACATTAGTTGAATATAAGAACGTTGGATAAATAACTTTTCTTTTTTAAAGTCAATCCGTTCGGGAAAAAAGATAAAATAAAAGTTATACTTTTTTTTTGATGCAATAATCTATTTTTATGAATAAAACTAAGGTGGCTTTGATTTGTTTCAGTTATAATTGCAGATTAATTCTTTCAAGTAATTACAACCTCGCAAGCGGCTGCTTCATCTTTAAACTAACTTTTAGTTATTACTATGCAAGTAGATTCTGTTCGCCTTTGTGTCGCGGCGCCTTGGCACGTGCCGTACTTTGTCAAAGGCGCGACATCAAAGGTCGCCGCGTGAGGGGTACATCCCCAGCAGAATTTGGCATTTTAAAACGAAGCGCCGTAGTAAAAGATTCTTTGCGACCTATTTAACTTGCGTTTATTATTTTAATATTCGTATTTTATTACAATAACCATAAGAATAAAATAATATTCTATTTTATTCTCAGAGTAGAAAAACATTTATTTAACAAACAATAAAAAATAATAAGCAAAATAATAAGTCCGCCTCCGGGGTGTACCGGGTGTATCTTAGTGAACGGGCTATATTTGATAGATTTTATTAACGTGTTTAGATAACGCGTGGTGTTCATTTAGCTGCCTGGTTAGTAACAAATGACCACTCACATTCGTACACCACACTCACGTTTAAATCTATGCCATCAAAAACATAATTTGTAAAAAAACTCAAGTCTCACAACTCAGTTCTTCTACCATAAAATTTGTGAGATCCATGTAATACCAAGTCGGTTGTCAACTAGATTGACTTGGCCATCGCATGAAAACACAATGTATCTCTCAAGTAATACATATTATATTAAATTAGATTGTTTAGTGCGATTGCCAAGTCAATTTATTTGACAACCGACTTGGTATTACATGGATCTCACAACTTTTATGGTAGAAGAACTGAGTTGCGAGACTTCGTTTTTTTACAAGTTATGTTTTTGATGGCATCTCATTTCTTTTTGTAGATAGTTATATCTAGGTACCTGTCTACACCTATTATTCCATTATGTTATACATATATAGATACACTGATTCATTCACTGCAAATGTAACTTTGTAATCCTATATATTTATATGGGATTACAAAGTTATTTATGCAGTTGTTGTATCTCAAAAACTGGACTGAAATTGCAAAATATTTTAATTTTTTCTTCATTTGTATACTCAACAATAATTGTATTCCAAATTTGAAGCTTCTATATCTGCTAGAAGTGCCTTAGAGTTTTGATGATCGGTCAGTCAGTAAGTGACAAAATTAAGAAACTTTGACTAGTTATAATTCTTAAACTACTAGTTCAAATTTAACGAAATTTGAAATATACTGAGTTTATACAATTCCTACTTGGTTACTGAAAACTCAGGCTTCTAATTTTATTCACAACGAAATTATGGAGTTTCGAAAATGGCCTGAATTGCTTCGAGAAAAGGATGGTACGGTCGTGCCGCTTCCGTGCCCTCAGATTGTTTTTGCGTCTTCGGTGGCATGCCTTCTGTGCCAATTTGTTCTACTTGAATATCGTATTGGACGGACTTTATACTTTATTTTTTCATACCCTTTCTATTTTAACATACCAATGAGATCATCGTAAAGTTAGCTAGTTTAGTTTGAAATTAAAGAAATATAATAGGGTCTTGGTCAGTATTCAGAGACAGTCTATTGAGCTTAAGCTCTAACTTCACAATGTCAAAATTTGAGTCTAGACCATATTATTATGTTACACAACCTTAGTACTTCATGAATCACCACCACCACCACCACTATCATCATCATCATCATCAATATCATTTTCATAGCCCTTCACAAATCCACTGCTGAATATAGACCTCTCCCAAGATATGCAACAAAACACGCTGAACCACCTGGATCTATCGACTATCGCTGGAGATTCTTAGCATCCTCTACCCCGCCATTACCACCATCGCAACCGAAGCCAGAAATAGCGGGGTCGCCTGGGACTGGGGCCTTTTTTTGGGTTACTCATGAGGGATGTTTGGCATAGTTGCTACGCTTGGCAGGCAAGTTGGCAACCGTAGTTTTTTTATTTTTAAGTTATCAGGAGGATTTGGTTTCCCTCTGTTGCCTCTTACGATACCCACGGGATGATATGGGATAGTTCATATTATTACGCCGCCACTATGCGGCGAATGGATTATGATAATATCGTAATTATTACATACAGCTCATCATATGTAGTAGGTACTTATGCGGTCACTCTAGAGGACTGAAGTAGAGTTCCTCGTCAGTAATTGCAAATCCCCACTCGACGCAGTATGGTAATACGTCTTTCTCGCCGGACAAGCACAATATTGCGTCTGGGATTTATTACTGAACTAGCTGTTCCCCGTGGCTTCGCCCGCGTGTGATTTATTACGATTGGATTTTATGGGTTTTAATTTCTTTGCGCGGAACCCAAATTATTTTTCTAAAATAGAAATAGCCTATGTTACTCCTTATAACATCAGCTATATGCCAGTGAAAGTCTCGTCAAAATAGGATCAGCTATTCTGGAGGTTAGCCGGAACAAACAGGCAGATAGACAAATATTATAAATATTGATTTTTTATAAGTACCGTATATACTTTCATATTATGCATTTAGTAAAAAGCTGTTATTTTGACATTACAAACAGACAGTTCAGTTTTGTTTATTTGTATAGATGTATAGATGTCTTTCCTAAGCCAAGTTGACTTTCTACAATCTTTAAATTAACAGAAAACCATAAAAATTTGTAGGGTTCGAATCCCAGGTCGTTCATAATCAGGTTTTTGGGGTTTTCTGTCTAGAAATTTATAGTACCAGTCCGGAGTTGGCGGTGTTTTAGTTCTATGCCTCAGGAAAAACGTCAAGCCGTTGGTCCTGCGCGTTTCTCTTCTCTCCGTTTCAACCGTTGCGCTTGCACACACACTGGTGCATTATTATCCTGTAATGCGCTCTTGGCTAGTCTTTCTTGAGACTGATTGGCCGCCGTGATTGAAATTCGGTCTGGAGGACATTATTATTATTAACGCCTTAGGTGACAAATTCGAACCCAGAACTCGCGGCATTGTAGTGTGGTACTTCGACTGCTAGGTCACGTGGCCGTGAGGTAAATAAAAGAATAATGAATGACGGCGTAAGAAAAGCTGTCACCTTATTTCTTGACGTAAGAACTCCAGCAAAATCTTATTACATCCAATATATTATGATATTTCGTGATAGACACTTGACAAGGGATCATTGCATCAATTGCAAGCAGTCTAGTGCTACAATTGACAATCAGAGTACCTACAAATCGGAACTCATAATTTGAGGTGTCGGTGGGAATCGATCTCGAGTTGCTATGTAAATTTAAGGCGAGCTACGGTGGCTCATAAAGCACCATATTATACCATTAATATAAAAAAAAATTTTTTTTTCAGGGTTCTTGGCTCTATCAATCGACGCAGATGATGTCCAACTTAAAGAAAGCACAGTTACGGCAGCGTCTCAAAGAGCTAAATATGCACAGAGAACAGCAACAACGCCTGATGATGTCAGAGTAACGAACACGTCAATTACAATATAAGCGAAGATATTTTTGCAACACTACCGCTAGATACGCAAACAATGTGATATTTATATCGCAAATTTCTTGTTCGTAAGTAGATCCTATTACGAAATTTTATTTTGTAGTATTCCGATAAATTATTTTATAGTAATGGAATTAGATTTAGTCTAGTAGCAAACAGGACTTGTTGCACGTTGATGATATACAGTTTTTGTTTAACACTTGTCTAAGATGCCATATAAATTTAAAAACATTGTCCGTATTTCTGCGTGATAAGTAACTTGTTTTGTATAGGTACTTGAACAGTGCAGTGTAAATGGTTTTTATAATTGACGACAGATTCAGCGTATATAAAAAGATTGTGACTTGCGTTTTACAATAGCACTCAGTGTCATATGATGTGTAACTGATAGGTACATAATATGTGTGCCACTTTGAATACCTTAGCGTTAATAAAACGTTAAAACGTATGTGAAATACCGGTGCATAATAAAAGATGACTTGAAAGTGATATGACATTATGACCAACATGATGAATGACATTTTTATGCCTAATGTTTGTGATTTATTTTTCGTTTAAAAGTTACAACCGTTCCCTATTTGCTCGCCAATTTAAAATATTTTTACACGATATTTACGTTTATAAACAGTGTACCTCAAATATTTATAATATATGATGTACGCGGTTTTCTTGCCAAAATATTGTTCGCCTTGAAACAGTCGGATCTTAAAGTAATACGAACGGATGTTAAGCATAAATGGCGGACTTAGTTGTGTTTTAAAAATTACCTAAGTCATAATTGTGAATGTTCTCAAATATTTTATGTGTACATCATTTATTTTTGATTTAATATTTTGAGTGTGATTCTTTCTTGCGAATTATAACATAATAAAATTAAATCCGGTATCGTTGACATGTTTGACTATGGATCTTATTAACTAAACTTTTATAATTGAATTGTTTATAAAACAAATATTTTAAGATAATCTAGAGAACATTGCAATAACATAATCCTCAAATTTAATAACACATTTCACAAATGAACCCTCAGTTACTACAGCATGATACAAAAATAAAAATTGTTTATTTTAATTAAACATCTATTTGTAGGTGATATCATGATAGTAAAAATGACTCGTTACGTCTAGTCTTTGATACGATTGTTTGAACATTCGTAACTTCGAAATTGGGGATTTTTTTTAAATAACGTGTTAAGCTAAGAGTATGTCCCAAAAGGTCTCTTAAAATTTTATAATTATCAACTTTTTTATATATTAAAATATAAAACAAATAAAAATTAAGTGAAGCAATATAAAAAATTACGTTTGACAAAAGAAAATTTTAGAAATATCAAGAGTTTTTGTTTACATGAAGGAGTTAAGTGACATAAGGAATTCCTTTTTTTTTTGCTAACGACACTGACCTAATCTAATACTAATTACTTCATTACCATTTTAAATAACAAAAATAATTGGTAGAGGAGTCATTTTGTGGAGATAGGGTAATTGATAAATATATCTGTTTATTGTAAATGTTTGAGTTCCGTTAATAAATTGTCTTTTTTATTTTAAGAAATATAAGAATGAAAGAGTGAATAATATCTAATTATTTGTGTATAAATATTTTTGCTACTTATTTAACAAACAGAAATGATTTTTAAATTGTATTTAATTGTAAACAAAAGAAGTAAACAATAGGCATAAATAAACAATAAATTACTTTCCTTGTAGCAGTAGCAATATAATATGATTATATTTAAATACTATTTACATTTTTATTACATGTATAGATGTAATAGGGGTGCAACAGTGTCTACAAACACTCTAGCGCTTTTAGTCTATCGTATAGTCCGCGCTATTATTGTACAACGTCCAAAACCAAAACAGTACTTGTTCTACTCTACAGAGTATGAAACCGAAAGTGGCTTTAGTTTATACTTTATATCATTATTTGAAAGCCTGTCAAAATGTGAATATTATTTATATTTAATGTACTTAACGTTTTGATTTTTAGTAAAAAGAAAATAATACGAGTATAATGTGACGCTTGAATTATTTATTATACTTTTCATTTTTAGTGAACAACCTGTATAACGCCTTAGTGATGATAAAATAATATTTTTATCGTGTGTTACATAATGCTGTGATTTTTTTATTTGGCATTGAATTTAAATTGTAAGTTTTTTGTCTAATTTTTGCCAGGAAGTAATTATTGTTTATGTTTATCCTCATATAATTGTAAGTACTAGTTTATTCGCTAGTAAATTCGATGTAAATTTAATGTTAGTTTGAATAAGTTTATAATTGGTTATCTATTGGAATAGAAAGTGAATTTTGTTTTTATTCTTATATTACTACGACAATGTGAGTGCCATTAGCCAGTCTAAGTTTCTTATATATAATAAACGATCTTATTGTGATAACAGTCAAATAATATGATGTTATAATAATATTTATATAATAAACAATGGTGCAATAATGTAGCATAGAATTTCGATTAGGGTTTGCCTTATTAATGAATAAGTTACTATATGAAAATTATAATAGGATTTTTAAGGTTAGCTGACTTGTTTTTTTATAGTACATAACATCTCCTTTTTAGTCAAGCAAAGTGAAGTAAAGTGGATACGTTTTATTTCGCCTTTAACCCTTAATTGGGCATCGCAAATGGAATAGTTAGAGCAGACTTTCGTATGTTATTTGTAGTGGTTCCATAAGTCGATAATTTTTTTTTGTTTTCGGGTATTTTTTGGAAATTTATGTGAGAGCTATTGTACCATTGCCCAAGTAGAGCAACATTATTTTAATGTGATTGAAATTTTGAAATATTTACTAAGTGCCTTATTTTCTTCTATAAACTCACATTATTATAGAAATAAATAAACCATTTTATTGACAAAAATATTTAATTATTTATTGTATGGAACGAATCCCAACATGGCACAAAGCAGAGTGGTTTGTACTTGACATATCTTGCACTCGAAGTATGTTTTAACTTCTTTTTCTCTCGTACTGCAAAAACGACATCTTCTATATGAGTCCTTTTTACTGTGATGCTGACCAGGACTTGAGAGCCGAATCTCATCAGGTATTCCAAAGAATCCACCCTTTTTCTTTATGAAATTGCTTGTCTTATGTTTTCTTTGTGAATATCTGACAAAGTAAAATATTTCAATATGTAAAATGTTGCAATGTGTATTATGAAGTAAATTTAGGCATTAGTGCTCTTGCCAGACGTAGTCGAAAATCACTATGGACGTTGTCTCCGTCTAGTTTGGCAGTATAGAATGCATTTATGATAGCACTTTCAAACGTAAACCAAAATAGACGTAACCATGTTTTTCTCGATTTTCTTCGAATAGGAATAGAAGCTGCGAAAGTGATCAAATGTATCAACTCCGCCCATATGTTTAGTATGTGTAGTTATTGCAGTAGGGCAGAACATGTCTTTCAGTATGCCTTTTTTGCCTTCTCTTGATGACAGAAACTTCAGATGGAATTAATGCAGTTGACAAAACATGGACATCTTTTGTATCGTGCGATTTTATACATCCAACTGAAGAGTCATACCGAAAAGTAAACTCACCTTTATTAGCAAGCTTCATAAGTTTGTTTTTCGTCATTTTTATCTCCTCACTGTCCCCAGGTTTTTTTGAAGTGAATTCCTTTTCTTGTCAATCGAACTGTGCCAACACTAAATGTTTCTGTCAGTAAAATCTTCATTAGGGGAATGCTATTGAAAAAGTTATCAAACATAACTAACGAGCCAGCAGGTAAATTTTTAGTTAGCTTCAAAACAACTTTGTATCTCAGACTTTCTTCACTTGGGGCCCCTGATCTGTCCTTTCTTGTAAATAAATATCAAACAGAACATCATGAACTAATCAAAACAGTTTATTTTTGTAGAAATCAGTACTTTTTAGGCAAACATATTCTATTTACCTGTATAGATATCAAACTGATAGAGATATTACTTGTTATCCACGTTGGATGGGTTTCAATGGCATATATTGTTTTTTGCTATCTCCACCCTTGAACTTGACCATACTTTCATCAATTGGTTGATGATGAGAGTTGTCAGCACATTTTTGAAAGGTTTGGTTCAGAATAGATACAGCCGGTCTTTTTTTTTCTAGTTTATCATATTGTGGGTGAGTTTTCGGAAGAGCTTTGGATGTATCGCCGATATGAACATTCTCAAAAATTTTCTTGAACCTTTTTAATGGCATGATGGTGCTTATTTCCTGATTGTTATAGTACACGTAATTCTGCAGCCTCTTTTTATTGTCATCAGAGTCCTTTTCGATATCCCAGTGGCAGCACAGGTCTTTTTAACAACTTGACTCTACAGGCAAGGCAAAATGTTTATTTGCCTTCTCCATTTCGAAATACTTGAGAGCACTTTTAAGATTAAATTTCTTGCTTCACTATGTACAACCTATGTTTAATTATGTTAACCTAAGTTTAGTTATAACCCATGTTTTTTTTTAGTTCAATTTAATTTCGAAAGTTAGAAAAACAAAAATAGTCCAAACTTAACAATAAATGAACAAAAATAACATAAAAATCACCAAATTATCGAGACGAGTATTGGTATACGCGTCTCGATAATTTGGTTATTTTTATGTTGACCATAACAAAGATGCTAACCATACTGTCGCGATCGGCGCGAGCACGGCGGGGTGAAGCCAGAAGCAAGAGGGGCATCGCATTCCAGCGAGTGTCACTTTGACATAAGACTTGACAATTCCTTTTTTCTTCGTTCAAAAATGTATCTAAGAGTATAATCTATGACGAATTGTGGAGAAATAAGAGTCAGCCTAGCAACCCCAAAATTTGTATGAAGTACCTGGAATAATCTGACTTGATACTTTAAGTGGAGTTATGCTTTCAAAAGACTCTTTAATAAGATTCTCTAACTCTACCGCAGGCAGAGAAATGTTTTTACTAGCCACTTTACATTTAGCCGAACTCCATACCAGCTCAATGGCATTT